TACCAAATTTTTTTAGCACTCTAAAAGAAATGTCTGCATCGATTTCATCGTATTTTTGAACGGCCTTTAAAAACTCCAAATCTTGTTTGGGTGCACCCAGTGGATCTGCACACAGACTAAATGCTTTCGTGTAAAGCCGTACAACGAATATAGACAGATCGCGAATGGCTCTTCTTTCTTTTTCTGAGTAATCATTGAATTGATTCATGAACATTTGCATCTTCAATACATATAGGGCCCGAGACATCCATCGCACTGTGCTTGTGCTGCCAGGTCTGCGAAAAACAACTGAGGTTCCGGGGTTAGCGTAGAGAAAAATCAATATTAATTGTAGCAGTTCTTTGTAATCTGCACGCTTAAACTCTTTATCCAATTGAATGTTGCAAAACTGAATGATGTTGTTGCTCACAGGCTGTGAGTGTGTGAGTCACAGCAGATGGTATTTTGAACTTGATGAATAGATCAGCAATGCCGGATGTATAATTTGTGTGATCCATGTCATCCCAGGCTTTTTTGAACTCTTCGAACTTCTTCACTGTGGGTGCCGATGTTGGAACGAAATCTTTCGCTTCAAATGCGCCCTTGAGCATAAGTTCGTAGACATGGTGTCGGCAAGCGTGTTTCAATAAATTCCTGCCGAACTTATTCTCTAAAATGGCGCACGCGCCAATGTGTCGTTCGGTATTCGCTGGAGTTGTATCGAAACACATACATTCGATATTGTCGACAGCATTCCATTCCGTCACTGTTCCGAAAACGGCTTCTGCTTGTGCTGCACCAGTGCTATCATCAATTTTCGGTACTTTCAAAAGTTGCACACCTGATTCTTGGGAAATGAGGATTGGAAGCCGATCGACAATTTTGTGGCCTGTTATGTCTTTCATTAATTTGCCGTCCCAGTGAACTGTGGCGAATTTGGCTTCAAAAGATTCTTTAATTTTTAAAGCAATTTTTTCCTATAGTCGATGCGTGAGCGCCGTAGTGTTTGATACGATATAACCAAATCGTCAAACACATTGAATCCAAGTGCTTAAGCCACGCCGCAAATTACTTGAAATGCTACGCGGTTCGATAATGCATTGGCATCGAGCAATGCGAGCAATTCATCAGTAATAAAATGTTTTTTCGGGCTGCTGGGGCCAGGTGATTGATATGGAGAACTATCGTGCTCTATCTGACTTGCTGACAATGTTGACGATGCTGACGATTCATCAGACTCTGAGTCAATTCGGCGACGTTTATGTGCAGTTTATGTTCCTTGAGTTTTTCACGAGCTAAAATTTTTCCTGATCTCTCTTTGGTGCCAGTTCCTTCAGAAGTCGAAGCCTGTGATTCATCGTGTTGTTCAACGTCGATATCCATCATTTCCAGAGCCATTCCTTCTTCTCCTTCTGCCTCTTGAACTTGAGGTTCAATTTCTTCGTCGATTTCTTTTGGAAACAGCTTTACATTGAATTCGTTGTCAAGACATGCCCAAAATTGATTCCGAATGGTTACTTGTTCTGGAGTTGTAGATGATTTATTGTTCACCACTTTACGCCATATTTTATATTCTTGTCCAAGTTTTTGAAATATTTTAACGGTTTTTTTTATGTGAACATAACATTTTCCCCAAATAGGATTGTATCTTCTACAAACCATTTCGACACTTTTCTCAACACAATGATTATTAGTATGGATTCCAAAAAGCACGTTTTGCAATACTCGACGTAATGTTGGAGAACTTGACTCTTCAATTTCACTAAGAGCCAACCCAATCAAATAAAACTCTTGTTGTTGTTGTTGTTGCATTTCTGCCATTTTTCCGCAAATTCGATGGTTTAAAATATCAAATTCAAATTGATTTAGAATGAATGGTATGTGAAGTATTTATGCACTATGGTAATGTCATTAAAACTGAGAATCATACCCAGTTTGCAGTGCATTTTATACCAATTGCTTACATCAATGATCGTATGAGAATTGAACATTGCACTTTATCACAACATACTTCGTATTTTTTCCTTATTTTTTTGGTGTGCGTAGCATTAAGTTGCATTTTTCGGGAAAATCCCATATGCAAATGTCATTTTCATTCTCGTAAGTTTTTATGATCCATTCGGACGGCCTTATTCTGGGTATTTTCAGTGCATTCGAGACAGATAACAGCGTCGCATGTTTATTGATTGCTGGGAAATTTCGTTCCGGACATAGTCTGTGTTTAATGTTTATTACAGAGATTGAAATAGCCGGTAGTTCTACCGGAATCCGGTAGTTCTGAATGAAAAAATGCAGCTCTAAATCCGATTTCCGGTAGTTGAATTTTGAATATTTCTCACACAAATTTGCCCAATTTTCAGTTATCAAACGAAAATAAATGTAATCTAAAATGAATATAAATGAAAAAATCGCTCCATGAAGTGAAAAAACGTCACTTTTTTTATCTGATGCGGATGATTTTAAGTTTATACTTTAAATTCTGACTATTCAAAATCGCCAGTGCCAATGACTCTCAGTATATAAGCATACGAACAGCTGTTGGTGTTCTGCGCACCATATCGATCTCGTGTGGGAAGACGTATGCAACAAGCATAAAGAAATACAAGAAGTTATTGACATTGTTACTAAAATATCGACGTATTTCAACCGATCAGCGATGCGATTGGAAGAAATGAAAAAAATTGCTGATGAAAATGGATTTAATTTGCTATTAATTCCAAAGTTGTTTGAAATCCGTTGGTCTGAATTTACACATACACTTATAAACAATGTTTTGCATTCATGGCAAGCGCTTGTTACTTATTTCAAAACAGATGAAAGTGCTGAAGAAGCCTGTTTTTTGAATTATTTGACAAATGAACGCAATTTAAAAATGCTTGCCTGTGTGGCGGATATTTTGCAAGTTTTTCAGCGATGTCACAAGAAACTCCAGAGCAACAATTTGACGATTGTTAGTTTAGTGAGCCATTTGGAATTATTACAAAAATCACTTAACAGTTTGAAAGGTGAACCACTCTTAGGTGGGTGGGAAGGTGCTTTGGAGAATGAAATTGTCGTGAGTGAAGACGAGAAACACTATCTCAAAGAAATTGAACTTCAGGAGAGTGGCCGAACACGAGCACAACAAAATTCGATCCAGATTCTCTACGTGAAAGCATTATCGAATCTATCATTGAAATCATCAAAAATCGTTTTGCTTCAGACGATGAATTGGTTCGCATCATTGAGCCTTTCATTAATTTTCGTACTGATGCAAATTTGAAGGGAGTACACGAACTGTTTGGAAAGGATTTGGATCTATCATCTCTCCATTTGCAATACAAAGGAACTCGTGGAAATGAAAACTCAGCTTGAACTTGGTTCGAATTTATTAACAAATATGCATGTGCTATTGCGAAATGCAGAAAATGCGTCTAACTTTGAAGATGTTTTGGTTCTACTTTGTCGTATACAAATTTGCACGCCAGATTCGGCAGACGTAGAACGATATATAAGAGCGAATAACGCGTTGAAGACAGTACGACGCAATCGTTTATCAGTTGACACCGAAAATAAATATTTATATATATACTACAATATGCCAACGCTCGAGCGTTGGTCACCGCGACGTGCAATTGTTTATTTTTTGGACGATAAACAAAGGCGAACACGAGCAACAACTGAAAAGCAAACAGCATCATACTTCAAAGGAATTTTTGATGTGCCAGATAAGAATGCCGAAACAAATGATGAACAAACATTGAAACACAAAAAATTCTGATGTGTACCCTTATTTTGAAATATCAATAAAATAATAAAAAAATTCTTGAAAAATGAAATCCGGTAGTTCTGAATTTTTCTTATTTCAATCTCTGGTTTATTACCCGTCATTGAATAATTTTGGATGTTACGCATGAACGCAAATTGATCGTGTCGACTTAAGCTACAAGACAGAATCCTAAATTTGACGACCTGAGTGTCTGAACGCAGAGTTATGTGTCGAAAAAACGGAAAAAGGTCAATTTTTGAACATTTTTTTTTCACTTTGGGTAGACATTTATCGTACGTACGTATATGAAAAAAGGAGAGAGAAAATGTTCATGGGGTCCCAAATTGACATGAAGTGATACGGCCTGAATTTCGGCTGTGTAGCACCGACGCTATGCCTTCTTACGTCAACGCCAACTGGTGCAAGAACAAGTACTACAAGCACAACGTACGTCAAATTCAAAAGCTTGTATACAAATATATACTTGTGTCAATTGCTTATTGAGCGGTTTTCTGTTCTCAAGAAATATTTTGAGTTTATTAATGCAAGAATTTAATCTTGTTATTTTAAAACGTACAATCAAACATTTTTCTCGTGTTTTTGCGTGTTTTTGTCAACACAAGAGTAACTAAAGAATTGCGAACAAATGTCAGTTCATTTTGTTGACGTTCCACGTTCCGATTGTTTCAATGACAACATGAAGTGACATTTGTCGCAGTTATTCATGTTGATGAAAACACGTGAAAACACAAGAATTTCATTTAATTTTATATTTTCTAAAATATTAGAATATTGTTTTTTATTGAAACATGTTTTTTTGAGTTTTTCTCTTCAAGTGATTGCTATATTTATACAAACGTGGTATTTCATTGTGTGGTTTGTGTTTGTTTTGGTTTGTTTATTGGTTGATTCATGTTGACACAATGATTCTAATAGTGATATGCTGTGCAATTGAAGCTTGAAATTTTTTTTTCCTCATTTGGAAAAAATATCAATGGAATAAGAGAGATATCAGTGTAATGCAAGCAGATTTTTATGTTTTTATGTGAAAGAACTACTATTCAAAACAGTCAATAACAGTATACCCAACGTGTAAGCTTTTAATACTATTGGTATACAACGGTTCTATTACATGTTCTTGCACCAGTTGGCGCTTCTGGGCTCATTTATATGAGAACTGTCAAGAAGGCGCAGTGTCGTGGCTTTCTTCTAATATGGGTTAAATTTAAGTATTTTATTGGAATCTTCTGGAACCATTATGGCCTGGTTTATATTTATAGAGCTCCAATCTTCACCCCAACACCAATAACGTCACATGATGTCACTTATTTTGGGGTCAGAATGGAGAAAATGGTGAGAAAATCCCATAATTCAGGACTATCACAGTTCCGACCTTCAAAAGGAGTTATACATGGGTGATAGTGGTCCAATAAAGACTGGAGCTATTTTATAATATTCTACGAACTAGAATCTGAACACTTTCATGGTTTGTGGTTACTCAAGCTATATTAGATTTCTTCTAAAAATTCTAAGTAGTAGGAACTTGCCGGTTTTAGGGCCGTTTTCTAGTATTAGTGTACACATACACACATACACACACACATACACATACACATACACACACTGGTTTTGCATTTCTCCTTTAACCTCTTTCGCGCAACATCTCTGCTTAGTGTATATTTCTTATGGGCAACGGTTGAGTGCGTCGTCTCTCTCTCTCACTCTCTCACTCTCTCACTGTTTCTCAACAACGGCAGCGAACGGCAGCAACAGCTCTGCTTGCCGTGTATTTCATATGAGTAACAGCTCTGTGTGAGCGGCAGCCAACGGCAGCAAAAAATATATGCGTTTATCATATACTACAGAGCTTTCAAAATGTAAACAAATAATCTTGATGTTTTTTTTCTTACAGAAAAAATTGTATTTAAAACAAGTAACCATTTGGATTTTAATTTTCATTTTTTGATTTCAATTTATTTTTATTTTTAAATTTGTCAATGTATATCACCTACTGAAAGAAAATATTATTTTATTGAACGAAGATTTTTTATTAAAATTCTTGTGAAAAAACTATGAATACAAGTTGTAATTGTGATGATTGTAAGGAAATTCGTGAGAATGTCAGTGATAGTGAAGCTGATGGTGGCAATAATAGCAATCAATCGTTCGTTACATGTGATTAATTTTCTATTGATATGCAGTCGATGAACGAGCGACAATCCTTTGTTGTTGATGATGGTGACAAACCAATAACATTATTTGTGATGCGTTTACAACAGCATTTAAGAAGATGGTGGTGGTGTATCCCTTTACTTTTGGTTTTGATTTTGATTTCATTAATCTACATAATCTTCAAGCAATTGTTTTTAAATGAATCAACCATTGGTAACAATAACCATCATTCAACAACAACAACGAAACCTGTTCTCCTTACTTCCTAAAATTTGAAAAACTCGTAAATTCTATTATTGTTAGTTTAATGAAATTTATTGAGCAAATAAAATTCAAAGACAAAAAAAAAGGGATCCGGTTCAATTGTAAACTAATAATAATTAATTCGAAGTACTAGCAGTAACGTTCGGAACTGTTGTGAATAATTCAAACAACAAATTGACGGTGACTGTATCAAATGAACTTATGATGGCAAGACAAACAGTGTCCTCACGTGTAATATCTACCATATCCACTTTAAACCGCTGTGAATTCCAGGTTGGTTGTACAGCTGAATTGGCGTCAAAGTAGCCAAATTTGCGCTCACTAGCAACCATAGATGATTCGAGTGTTCGACGAGCCAGTGTGACATCTTTACCCCACCCCTTATTAAATTTTCTAACCTAAAACAATTATGGCTTTATTAAAACATACAATGAATTGATTCGTTCAATTGATTAATCTATTTACCAAAGCATTCAATTGAAGTAGAGCTCGTTCGACTTCCTTGCGCAACAACCTTATCTCTTCCATTGTTATATTTCTTTGAACAATACCTCTGTATAGCGGACGTCTGTAATCATCTGGAAGTTGGTCAAGAACTGTTTTGTACCAAACGCGGTATGCTCCAATAGATGACATAGCAAATAGAGGAATGGAATTTTGGCCACCAATTTCAATTGCATATTGTAAAACCTGTCGAAATGTAAAAAAAAATTGCCGAATATTTCAATCATTGACATTTTCGATTTATTATTTTGTTTTTTCTTTGTTGCTTCTGATAACAATTACCGCAACCGTTGACTATATTTATTGATATTTCACAAATATACAAACGATCATCACTGAATAATTCAACGTTTGGTATTTCAATTCTAGTTAACAACAATGCTAAGGTTTCACTGTAATAAAACGAAAATATTTACACTGCAGTAATAAATGCAAAGATTGTCTAAACTTTGATTGAAGATCGTCCGAATTTCGTTCATAATTTTTGAATCTAAAAACTGAAAGAAAAAAAACCAACAAATACGAATATTTTGAATTGTAATTGGGAACGACATTAGAGAAAGAAAAATTTATTTCAGAAAAATCGTTTTCATTACGTACGTGTGTGAAAAAAACGTCCGGATCTGGTTTCACTTTCAGAACGTGCAAATAGCTATCACACAAATAGTCTTCATCAAAATTGTTTGGTTCCATTTTTACAATTGATGCCATTTTTACAGTTATTTTACACTTTTTCATGCTAAATTTTCTTTGTTTTTGTAAAATGAATTAAATGCAGAGATGAAATGTTTACTGTCAAATCTGACATGAAGTTAATCAATGGTTCACACGAACCATGAATTTAATGGTTCACACGCAAAGCTATCAACATGTTGACTACCATTGAAATATGTACTATATTCACTCAACAAAATAAAATTATTTTTATTTTCTTTCAATATTTAAAAAATTAAATAACTCAATGTTGAGGTCTAGAATGTAATGAGCAGATAATTATAAAGAGAAGACGCCATCATTATTACATCATTATGTTTGAACGGTCATTGAACGAATTAAAATCGAAAACTGCTACATCAATCTTCGGTAAAATATAGAGAATTGAAAACGTCGCTTTTATTGCAATAGACCAACCAGCTGTTTTGATTCCATTTGATGCTTGTGTGCCTCAATTGCGCTAAATGCTCACATCGCACGTTTTGATTGCGAAAATAATAGAATACTTACAATTGTGAAATAATGAAATACAAAATGAATAAGGTAAACAATTGTAGCTTTTCTGTCAATTTATATATTTTATTCCACATTTGATTGTATATTTACACATTTCCATGTTTAATTTAATTTAATTTCTTTATTACCAAACAGAATATTTTCCTACAGGTATTAAGACAATAATAATAACAATGAGAAAAAAATAACAATATACATGTTTATTATGCCATTGCAACCGAAGAAGTGCACCGATTTTAATCACGGTTTAGCCACCAATCCTAACGATTTCGAAGTGGCATTCTTACAACCGGATTAAACCGATTGCAATGGTTAAACAATTAATTATTATGAGATACAATCAGTTCGATAATGTGTTATTTACAATTTGCCTAATGAGCTGAGGTGTTGCATTGAAATCGAATGACGTTGAGTAACGATTATATGTACTACACATCCTATATAATGATTGCTGTTGACCAAAATTGGTACGGCAAATTGGAAGGTATATCAGATTGTCTTTCTTTCGTATATTTATTCGAGTGTTGAAGTTTATGCGTGAGAAAATTTCTGGTGAATCAATATGGCCATAAATAACTCTGTGTAAAAATATGAGATCAGTTGAAACTCTTCTTGAGTATAACGAATCCATAGACAGCAATTTGAGTCGAGCCTTATAAGATGGAAGGTCTGGTCTCTCAATATTACGATAAATGTTTCTGAGAGAATATAGAAGGAATTTCTTCTGTATGGACTCAATGCGACTAATGTGGTTAGCATAGGATGGCGACCAGATGACAGATGAGTACTCGAGTATTGAGCGAACTAGAGAGCAAAAAAGTGCCTTTAATGTGTATGGATCTTTGAATTGTCTTGTACTGCGAATGACAAATCCAAGTCGTGCCATCGATTTTGCTATAGTTTTGTTGATATGTGGAATAAACGATACAATGTTACAATGCTTATTAATATTGATGATATGATTATTAAAAAAGACAAAAAAAATATAATATAAATTGCTTCTTTAACTTGGTTATCCATTACTATAGATTCTGTAATTACTTTCATTGAAGCACCTGTTGAAGTATTCGTTGTAGTAACCATTGAGACCGTATTGTTGGAATTTGTATTATTTGAAATGCATTTGACTGATTCACAAATAAAGCAAAACTCAAGATTTCCACATATTCTGTTCAATTGGTATTCTCCAACATCTAAAAAAGATGAAATATTATAATTATTTTATTTTTTTTTTAACGTTTATTTTCAATTCCTTGAATTACGCGATTTTCTAATGAAAATTGCTTTCACTTCGAAAATTTAATCGACGTATTCACAGCTTTGATCGACCTGTAACGCATATTCCACGATATACCATTGGTAGGTGTACCTCAACCTTCAGCAAAATTTAAGTCTAACGACTTGTTTCCTCGTCATTACGAGGAATGTTGTACATCAATATTTTGTCCTCGAAATTGAAAAATGTCGTTACAAGGTATTTTTGAAGTGTGTACATGACCAATTTTTAGTCAATATGCCAATTTCGTCCGATTTCGTCTGATTTCGTACGATTTTGTAACGGTTCGTAATGATATGATTCCATTTTCATTTCATAACAACGCCGTTGGAGCCGCCATGACAGGCACACTTTTAGTGGCATATCTCGAAAATTGGAGCGAATTGGAGATGGTGTGGCCAAACTGATGATAAAATCAGATTTATAGGCTCAAAAACTATGAAAATCACCCTTTTTTTGCTTTTTTCCGTTTGGTTATTGAAGTTTATACGAATTTATATATATCCTTTATAACGATAGGTGTATGCCGTAGTCTATTTTCTCCAAAAATACACATAAAAAAATCCGTAAAAAAATTAATGTCGATATGCCTCTCTTTTGTTACTACAGGTAAAATCAAAGAATTAAGTACATTTTACCTGTCACAGGACCCTCTAGAAACAATGTTTGGCCGAATAAGATCATTACTTGGTGATGCAAGAAATCCAACAATGCAGCAATTCAAAGGTGCACTTCGAAAAATATTTTTCAATAATGAAATCAATTTGTCATCAAAATTCGCCAACATAATTGATTCTTCCAATATTTTGGAAGTCTCATCTGTACCGAAAAGAATGATACACGGAACTGAATTGACACATAATGCTGTTATGACTGCGCATTCGTTTGATGAAGAAAACGAAGAAGATGGTATGGAAAATGGCGACGGTGATAGCGACGATGAGAGCAGTATGTTCGATGCCAATGGTTCACATTTCTTCGAAGGCGACGATGACGATGATGAAGAAGAACATGATTTGGTACCTCACATTGACCAAACATGCAGCGATAGTGATACTGAGGCTAGTACCGACGAGAATCTTCAACCCTGTGAAGATGTTTCTATAGCATCATATGCAAGAAATATCGAAGTAAATATTCAAAAAAATCATTCTGCATGTCCAGATGATTCAACATGCCAAAACATCTTCTCACAGGATGAAAGAGTTTCGTCGCTGAATGTTCTACAGAAGTCCTTTACCAAACATAACGAGGTACCATGTCGAAGCACTTTTATGATTTGCAAAATCACACGCGAAATTTTTGTAAAAGCTTTGAACTCAGTAGATTTTAAGTACGATGATGTTTTTCAATTAATTTTAGAAAATGTTTCTGAAAATCGCGAAAACATTTTTCCAAACATTGAATCGTTCATTTGTGGATTGAAGTCTGAAAATATTTTCCATACTATAATCCACTCATATGTGGATATGTATGCAAAATACTTTTCACAAATGGTGAATGCAGAAAACAATGAAGATATGCTTCGAAGTTGGAAAGAACGAGTTCGCATTTTCAGATCAATGTAGATTAATGTAAACGGTTCAGTAAATTGCAGTGCTATTTCAGTGCCGTTCGGTATATTCCAAAAAATTTGTTAAGTTAAAATATCAAATTTTTGTTGAAAAAAAATGGTTGTTTTCGACAAATTACATGGCCTGACCATTTTGTGTATGTCAAGGATGTATACGGACTACATAAAAATTATCACTCGATTGAAGTGATACAATCGATCCATTTTGGTTATATTTTCCACTCTTTTGGAAATTTCTTTCTGCAGTCGTCTAATATTTTGAATATGTATGTGTGACGATGTGTGAATAGCGTTTCAATTAATTTCAAAATTTGGTAAAAAAATTATTTTTACACTGCATTTTTCACTAAATTGATCTCAAAATTTTTGCTAGCTGAACTATCATACAAGCGCATACAAGGTCATACATTTTTTTGTGTTCAGTACGGTTCAGTAGAACAGTTGGCATATAGAATTTGAATATTAGTGGCAAAATCGGGCGAAATGAAGTTGGATTCACTATTTTCAAACGTTTTCAAAAAAAAATTAGTAATAATGTTATAACGACAAGTAGAATAGAATAAGCATGGTTTGGAAAAATACAATAAATTCACGCGATTCCATAAAAGAAATATCAAGAAATATATTTGAATTTTTTTCGTAGAATGATAGTAATTTTCTTCTACAGGCTATCTAAAGTTATTCTTGAAAATAAAGCTGAAAAACTGAAGTTTCGACCAAATAGCTATTACAAAATAGCTGACAAATAAAACGTTAAAATATCAATGAAAAGTAGTTCGTTGATGTTTTATTTGCCGTTTTATCAATGATGACTTATGAACAAAATCTTGCAATGATTATTGATGAACTATGTCTACAGTTTTTTTGTTTTTTCTTATGAATAATAAGAAACCAACGCAGCGCCTTTTCTGCACTTACGCCAACTGCTGTTGGCAAGAGCCACTACAGTACAACGTACGTCAAATTCAAAAGCTTGTACATATATGTATACATGTTTCAGTTGCTTATTGAGCGATTTTCTGTTCTCCACGGTTCTCCAGCTCTATTTTATTTTTTTTTTTCACTAAACAGCGTATAAATTTTGTTGCTAAAAATCAATCTGCTTATTTTTAAACGTAAGATCAAATTTTTCCTCTCGTGTTTTTGTCAATACAAGAGCACCCAGAAGGAATTTCACTGTTTTGAATAAATACGAACAAGTGCCACTTCATTTGTTTACGTTCTGTTCACGAGAATCATGTTATGTTTTTTTTTAATCAAAAAGCGTATTTAACTGTTCATTCCGATGCAAAAAATCAATTTTCTCATTTTAAAATTTCAAATAAAAATGTTTCCGTATTTTTGCGTATTTTTGTCAACACAAGAGTGTCTAAAAAAAGTTCCATCGAGTTGTAATTTCATTTGTTGACATTCCCGGACATTCGTTATTCCGGTTATTGGATATACTCGGATATACTGTTATCAACTGTTTTGAATCCGTTTGAATCGTTTTGAACGGTTTTGAATGGTTGTTTTTTCACACGAACATAAAAACGTGCTTGAGTTCACTGAAAGCATTAATATCCCTTGAAATATTTCCAAAACGTTTCAAAATGAAAAGAAAAAATTATTTTATGGCTCAGAATCGAACAGCATTTCACTATTTACATCAATGTGTCATCATTTGTCATTTATCATCGGCTTTGTTACTCTTGTATTGACAAAAACACGAGATGACTTTCCTGGACTTTACGTTTTAACATCAGAACGTTGATTTTTCTGCATCGGATTAAAAAAATATTGACGTTCTTCAAAAAATTAAATTGAGCTGGACAACTGAAAATCGCTCGATGAGCAACTGAAACATCTATACATAAGTATACAAGCTTTTGAATTTGAGGTAAGCGGACGTAATTTGTACTGTAGTTACTCTTGCTAACAGCAGTTGTCGCTTCTGGGCTCGTTCGTATGGGAATTGACAACAAGGCGCTGCGTCGTAAGAAGCATACTTTTGCGTACTTTTACTTCGTTTTACTTTTTATCCGCACACTTTGTTTGTATGGAAAAGTATTGGTTTTACTAGCCAAAATTTCATGACATCTCCTCTTTTGGACCACTATAACGTCACGCCAAACTTCAAAAAACACATATCTGTACACTAGGCAATGTAGATGGGATGAAATCCTATCGATCCGTATCGATCAAGACCTATCTGCCTCCAAAAACATGCTGTTTACTATGAAAAATGTGCAAAATTGCGATGTTCGTATGGCGTCGTCCGCGTCCGCGTTTTTTGTTCGCCGATTATCTCAAAAAGTTGACAAGATAATTGAGATCTGTAATAGCCAAAAGTTTTGGCATATCGAGACAAAGCTTCGGATTGATTTTGAGCCCATTCTGATTTACCAATTTCGTACCATAAGCATAAGCCTCCGACTGAGGACCTGAAAAACCTTGAAAAATGACACTTTTGTACGAGAAGTACCCGAAAAAAGCCGAAGGGTTTCGTTCAAGGCGAACTGCCATTTTTTTGCAAAAATAATGGGAGTCTGTGAACAACCGAACACCTACTTGCCCATAAATTTGGTCCAAAATCGACATTTCTTGAAATTTTACTCGAATTTTCAACAATCACCTACCGATGAGAGGTACGTTACGCTGGCCTCCCCCAAATTTAATGCTGGGATGTGACCGGTACCATTATTTAGTGCTCAATTAGTGCTGGCGAATGGTACCATCGGTTAATTTTATGCTGCGATAGGGGGCTAGCACTAATTGAAAAATGTGTAAAAACTCGATTTTTGGCCCTTTTACAGGGGAGCTACCCGAAAATGAAACTTTTTTGTATCGTGACCGGGCTATAAAATTAGTGCTAGATTAGTGCTGGCAAATG